CACCACCTTCCCACTGTGCCCCTCTTCTCCATCTCCACTGTCCCTGGTTCCACAGCCACTCCTGGCCTTTCCTGAAGTGGATGCTTTTGAGGCCACATGGCCAGTGATTTTGAGCAGTGTCCCCTCCAGGTGGTTCCAAGATTACGCTGAGGTCATGCATTTTGAGAAAGAATACCACAGCAGTGATACAGCCTTCCCACAGTCTCCAGTCACAGGCTACATGGCAGCAGTCGGTCTTACTACCGGTGATCTGAATCTTGGTCAGCTGGCTTAACACATGGTAGGCCAAGTTTTTCTACCATAAAGTTACTCTCTAAAGCTTTGTAAATAACAAACGTTTGAGAGGAAATACATTAAGGCTATGCAAATATTCTTTCTTAAACTTTTGCCAACTGATTTTTAACACTCATTGGTAGATCCCACGTAGTTAAGTCCCGCCCTGGGGGTCTTATGGTGATTTCCTAGTTACCTCATTCCTGCTACTTTTGTTTTGTTCTATTTTGACATTCATGGGATTCTTTAAATATTTATAGACTTTTTTTTTTTTTTTTACAGATTTTATTTATCCATGAGAGACAGAGAGAGAGAGGCAGAGACACAGGCAGAGGGAGAAGCAGGCTCCATGAAGGGAGCCCAACGTGGAACTTGATCCCAGGTCCCCAGGATCACGCCCTGGAGTGAAGGCGGCACTAAACCACTGAGCCACCGGGGCTGCCCTAAATATTGATAGATTTTTAAATTTTTTGTCTTCTTAAAGTTTTAATGTTACTTATGTCTATATAATATATCTACATAGTTGAAAATTCAAAAGTTGCAAAAGCACATGTAATGAAAAGTTGAACACACACCACAGGGATCATTAACTTAGCTCCCTCTCCTAAGGCAACCAATGTTACCAGGATCTTAATATATTTCCAGCAATATAATGCATAAGAAGTATATACACACATTTTCCTTTAGGTAACTTCATTCTACATTTATTAATTGCAATTCATCTATCAAGAAGACATGTCCCTTCTCAACATTTGTTCAATCATTTATTTTTGTAGTGTGGACTTACAGATATATATTTTATTCTTTGAGTCATGATAGACTAAGGTATAATTATAAATAAACTTTATTTTGTTATTGAAATTATTCCAGCTTTCACCACTGGGACTTAAGGGTTGGCTCCTGCATCCTACTAATGTACTTCTATTTATCTATCTAACCTTTTTTTTTTTTTTTTTTTTACTTTTTTGGCACCTCTAAATTCCTTGGCCTTGTCTTTTATCTTCTTCATCCCAGTGCTGAAGTCACTACTTCTCCAAGTAACCTTGGTTCTTTTTATTGAAGAATGATATTTAAAAACTAAGACTCAGGATGCCTGGGTGGCTCAGTGGTTGAGTGTCTGCTTTCAGCTCAGGGCGTGATCCCAGAATCCAGGATTGAGTCCCACATCGGGCTCCCTGCAAGGAGCCTGCTTCTCCCTCTGCCTATGTCTCTGCCTCTCTCTCTCTCTGTGTCTCTCATGAATAAATAAATAAATATTTTTTAAAAACTAAGATCTCTGCACTGTCTGTGATAATTAACACCATACTTAATGATAAAAGATGTTTTCTCCATAAGATCAAGAACAAAACCAGGATGTTCACTCCATCACTTCTACTCAACATTATAGTGAGGTCCTAGCCAATATACCAAGGCAAAAAAAAAAAAAAAAAAAAAAGAAAATACATACCAGTTGAAAATGAAGTAAAAACTTATTTACAAAAGATATAATCACCTATGCAGACTCGTCTACCAAAAAAAAAAAAAAAGAGCTACTAACGCTAATGAGTGAGTTTTGCAAATCTGCAGGACATAAGGTACATATACAAAATCAATTGTATTTCTATATAATCATAGCAGACAATATGAAAATAAAAATTAAAAATACCATTTATACTAGAAGACATAAAACACTTAAAGACAAGTAACAAAATACCGGTAAGACTTGAACACAGAAAATTATGAAACATTACAGAGAGACATTAAAGAAAAGCTAAATAAATGGAAAGGTATATGATGTTCATGTATCTGAAGCCTCAATCCTGTTCAAATGTCAATTCTGCCCCAAACTGATCCTTAGATTCAACACAGTATCACACAAAATCCCAGCAGATTTTTTGTATAAGACGACAAACTGAGTGCAAAGTCTACAGAGAAATTTATCTGGATAAATTCATCTTATAAAATATTCTCTTAAATCTTAAAGCTTGAAGGCACTTGGGAGATCCTAATTTTGTGTGAGTAAAATGACTTGTCCATTTCCCCATAGGAAGGAAGAAGCAAATCTAGGACATGGATTTCCACACTTCAGTCCTGTGCTCTTCATTACATTCACAATTAAGATTAATTCATTTTTTTTACTTAACCTAGAAAGAGATCTAGATTTCCCTTAAGGATACTAGCCTCTCTCTATGTCTTCTCTCTGGTTTTGCCACAATATATTGAAAAGTGGCCAATAATTATGTGATAATAAATCTACAAAAGAGTAAAGCTCCCAAAGAATATTAATAAAATTGTAATTAAAAAAACACCTGATCTTAGAAGTAAATTAACCTCTTATGAAACAGTTACATATTTTAAAGACATATGAGTCCCATAAAAGTGTTTCATTTTCTAAATTATTTCCTAATTTATACTGTCTGAAGAGTAGAATTATAATTGGATTCATTACAAAAGTTACTGGCGTCAACATTCCCATAATTCTCTGTTTCTTAGTGATATGATACAAATCCAGACAGACCCGATCACATTTTCAAAGCCTTTTAGAGACAGACTCAAAATGTGAGGGTGCTATTATAATGCTGCTGTAGTGTCCTTCAAGCATGTAAGGTGGTTAAAACACCAGAGCCTCATCGGACATCCATCCAAGTAAACCTGCAGAAGAGGTCAGCTCCTGATGAATTCTGTTCACAGAAACTTCGTAATTTTTGTGGTTGTGCTTCTTTACGTAAGACACTTAACGTCTTTGCTCAGATTAAGTAGCATCTATTTTTATCAATTTTAACAATTGAAACCCATGTCTCCACAATACATCATTTAAAGCTATGTTCTGGCAGCTCCTTCTCCCTGCTTGCTAGCCCCCTCCAAGCCCATTCACCTTAAGGGAGCTGGCCAGGGTCTTACTGTAACTGCTCTGGGCGTGTCGAGCTCCATGGCATGTCAGAGCTTTCCCTGAGTGATGCCAAACTCCCACTTAACATGGAGAGCCAAAACCTGATGAAGAAATCTTTGTGGTATATTTTAATCTCCTGACAGGACTGAAGAAAGTACATGTTTTGCCTCCTATTGAAGTTAGCAGTGACACAATTGGGACTCACAGTTGTCTCCTCAAGGAATGTTTTCTCTCCTTCCTTCTCTCTCTTCCTCTTTCCCCCCTTTTTTACTGAGTTATCCTTGGTGATGGTATGTAAAAGGGATTTCTGTTTGTGGCTTACAGCTTTGTATGCCAAAGAAAACCTCTGACCATGTATTATTTCTGGGAGATATAAGAAGACTCTGATCCTTCTCTTTTACAAGGGTCTTTTGTAGTGAACTGATCTATTAAAAATACCACACAGCCATCATTAGGGTCTAAATAGGGATGCAACCCATAAAGAACACCATCACTATTATAAAGTAGATGTCTAGTTTTCTACATGAAATTAATAAACATTTAAAAATGGTTACATGCTTCTCATAAGAGTTGAGAAGGATCCAACATCTACCCCAGTGCTTGGTACATGGTGGGAGTCTAAACTTTGAGAGGTGTTTAATATCATACAACTATTTCACAAGAAATGCTTAGAAAACCACCATACTTTCTATTCCCATAACGTAATGCAGAAATTCAGTACTTGTCTTTTTCCTTGTAAGTCATAATGATTTCATTCTATCTTTACTTTAGGGATTAATAAAGAAGGATATTTGGCACAAAACAGACATTTTTTTTTAAATTTTTTTTAAAGATTTTATTTATTTATTGAGACACAGAGAGAAAGAGAGAGGCAGAGACACAGGCAGAGGGAGAAGCAGGCTCCATGCAGGGAGCCCAACGTGGGACCCGATCCCAGGCCTCCAGGATCACACCCCAGGCTGCAGGTGGTGCTACGCACTGCGCCACAGGGGCTGCCCAAAACAGACATTTTCTAAATGATGTTGATTATGTATGTGTCTGAGAAAACAGGGAAAACTGGAATAAAATGAAATAGAAGGACTAACTACACAAAAGAACTAAAGATTCTAAGCAATTATGGTATTACATAAAAATTTCATAGTAAAATTTTTACATGAGCATTTAAAAATCAAAATCAGTGAAATCAGTGCCTGTACTAACAATACCTAAAATAGTAGAAATAAAATAGACAAAGATTACAACAAAGGACTAGACACAATAATTTCCTGTCCTAAGGAAAAATTACAGTATTAAACACAAGTAATAAGCAGATTTTAATAAAAATAAAGTTATAAAATCAGTAGCATCCATTTTGTGGACATTAAAATTCCATTTCAAATAACAGAGAAACCCCAACTAAGAAAAATATCCATTCCTTTGTTAAATATTAAAAACTAAATTGCTTTTAATTCCCTTTCAAGTAAGTTTTGTATAAATACATTTGTAGAGTTCACTTTAAAATTAAAGACATGAAGATAAGGAAAAACATTCTGATTTCGTTTTGCTAGTTTTCTTAAAGAATAACGTAACATCAAGGTTTTTATTTTTTCTCCTAATATTTAGGAAACAATGAGAAGCAAACTAATGTTACTGGGATAAAAGAAAAATCAACTGACCACACTGAGTAACATTTCAACCTGCATTTTGGGAGTCAGAATCATCGATAAATTTTTGGGCTAAGAAGTTCAATATTATATTCAAATATGTAGAATAAAAATGAAGAATATCATTATTAAATTTTATTCACTTAAAAATTTTTTTTGACCGTAAATTCATCTTAGGCAAAATATATAAGGATTGTTCCATGAAAATAACCTACCTTTTTATCGTATACATCTTGCCAGTTGACTCCAGAGAAGAAACTGTGCCTCATAATTTCTTTTGCATCATCTGGGCCCCCGCCAAGGCTAAGAGACAGAAACAAGAGTGAGAGAACATTAAGAGAGAAAACAAGAGTGAAAGAACATTAAGAGAGAACATTAAGATATCTATATAAGGCCAAAAGGAAACAAGAAAGTGTCCATGAAATGTAATTCTCTGTGGTATACATAGTTCCTGAGATCAAGAGCTGTACCAATAAAAAGCTTTTACTGTCAGATCTGATTTCCCTGACTTGCTATTAGTAAGTGGTAGCCTTGGGGCACCTGGCTGGTTCAGTCAGTTGAACACCTGACTCTTGATTTGGGCTCAGGTCACAATCTCAGGGTCATGGGATGGAGCCCCACATTGTGCTCTGCACTCAGCATGAAGTCTGCTGGAGATTCTCTCTCCCTCGCCTCTCCCCCAATCTTCTACCCCTGCATGCATGCTCTCTCTCAAATAAATCTTCAAAAAGGAATAAAAGGGACACCTGGTTGGCTCAGTGGTTGAGCATCTGCCTTCAGCTCAGGTCGTGATCCCTGGGTCGGGGATTGAATCCCACATCAGGCTACTTGCAGGGTGCCACTTCTCCCTCTGCCTATGTCTATCCTCTCTCTCTGTCTCTCATGAATAAATAAATAAAATCTTAAAAAAAAAAAAAGAAAAGAAAAGAAAAAGGAAAAAAAAGGAGTAGCCTCAGGACAATGTGGTACCTGAAAAGAGTACAGGCTTTGGGGACAAAACTGAAACAGGCAACCAGCTCTGGAACTTATGAATATGTGACAATGAACAAGCTGCTTACTCCCAGTGTCTCCACTGTGTGTGTGTGTGGGCACAACGATACCAGCCTGGTGGGCCACCATGAGGGTTAGCCATAACACAGATAAGTGCACCTAGCACAACAAATGGTAGCAATTACCACAGTCAATTCTATAAACCAGATTTTTTTTCTTAAAGATTTTATTTATTCATGAGAGACACACAGAGAGAGGCAGAGACACAGGTGGAGGGAGAAGCAGGCTCCTGCAGGGACCCCAATGTGGCATTCGATCCCAGGACCCCGGGATCATGACCTGAGCTGAAGGCATATGCTCAACCACTGAGTCATTCAGGTGCCTCTATAAACCATATTTATTTTGGTTAAGATTCAGATTAAACTGCATCCTTGCTACCATAAATTCCGAAATAACTAAGTAATTAGTTAGAAAAAGCAACTTGTACAGTAATTGTTAATAGAAACGCGAGGGCTATTTTCATACCTCAAATGAATTTCCACAGAAATGACATCACAAATCTAGGAAATACCCCTGCTACATAATTTATTATGCAAAGCGCAATACACACTATGAATTTAAAGATGTTCCCCCCAGCTTTGCAGGTATTCTTACATAATGGAGAGTGGGCACAGTGTGAAATTCAGGTGCTTTCTGGCTTCCTAAGCTTCCTATAATTCATACTAGTTACTACGAAGAAGGAATGAAAAAAGAAAAAAATAACCCACAGAGGGAAGCAAGGAGGGAATGAAAGAGAGAAGGGGGAAAAAAAAGAATGTGGAAAGAACAAGAAAAAGAAAGGAAAGGAAATCCATTTAAATCTGGATCAATACAGCAAGCTTTCTCTGGTCTTGCTCATGGCTACTAGGGACAGTGTGTGCCCATAAATGTTTAAGAGTCAGCAATCCAGGCAAAATGATGCATGTGCAATATTACATGTGCCGATTATATAGATATGTTTGTTATAATTTTACAGATAGAAAAGACACAAGGCACAAAATTTATTAAGAATAATATAGAATGCCCTTTTCTCTAAAGTAGCCAAGTGATGCTCACAGAAAACATTTGTTAATTTTGCTAAACTTGAAAGCCACTAACTGACTTAGGAGGAGCTCCAACACAAATACTGGCTGTTCTTGTCATTTGTGGTGAGAGTAAAACAACAAAGACACACAGTCAGACTTTCCCTGGCTTGTCAGTTATAGGAGTGACTTCTCTGATGAATGGTGAATCATCTTGGAACAGTGGAAAAATAATCTCATTTTGGAGTGTTATTCACAGTGTTATGCATACAGACAAAACAAACTTTAAAATGTAATCTGTGGGGCACCTGGAGGGGCTCAGTCAGTTAAGTGTCTTATTCAATTTCAGCTCAGGTCATGATCTCCGGGTCATGAGCTCTGGGCTGAGCATGGAGCATGCTTAAGGTTCTCTCTCCTCCCTCCCCCTTCACCTCTCTCCCCTGCATTCTCGGTTCTAAAAAAAAAAAAAAAAAAAACAAACAAACCAGAAATAAAAATGTAATCTGTGTTATTAACATCTTCTCTATTAGTTTCTAAAGTCTAAACAATCAACAAAACAATAGAGCAAGCCCTAACTTACAAAGTTTGCCAACTTTGGTGATATAAATACTCCTCCATGGCTAATCTCAAGTTAGCAACCTGATGTCACTGACACAGAAGTGGGAAGAGGTGCACAGAAGCAGGTCGTTACATAGTATTTTTGTACAGACACACAGATAAAAGCAACCTCAAAAACACTGAAAAGAGTAAAATTTAACAAAATTATTAGAGACTGATGAATTGAGTATTTATTACTTTTGTTTTTAATGTACTTGATTTGATTTGTATGTTTATAAAATTTGATTTTTAACAATGACTGTATTAAACAATCAGCTCACAAAATCCTTGAAGTTTAACATCTGGCTTTCATGAGTCGGTACATGCCAACTCCCACACAACACTGGGTAGGAAGAAACACAAATAGGTCACAATAAACAAGCAATACTACAATCTAACAGTGCTAGCTATTATTAGGTATAAGGAATACACGAACTGGGGAAGAATCCAGTCAGAGGGGAAAATACAACCAACTTATATCTGAGTTATCTGTAGTCATGATCCATGGTTCCCACAATCTAGGTCTCCTGTCCTCAGATCATACAGAACGAACCACAGCACTTACAGGGAACTTCTAGACTGGACCAGATGGTACTAGCAGTGTTCGGTGTTCGTATGCAGGACTTTCCGACTGGCGGCTCTGTATTTAGTTAACGCCAGCACTCCACCCCCCTGGCCTGGCTCTTTCTTTCTCTATTCCAAGTTGTATGTGTCCCTCCCTGGCTGGGCTGCAAATTCTTCTGACGGCAGAGACTGGTACTGGATGATCCAAAAAGCGTTCTGAGCTTCTACTTAGGGAGCCAGAAAAACAGAGACACCAAAATATGCGCTGAAAAGAATTTAAGTCCCAAAGTATGCATCAAAGTGGTCTGCGTGAGCTCATGGTATTCTCTTACCCTTACGCTATTGTTTTCATTTTGAATGACAAATGAGATGATGGGGGAGCTGGGAGCTGGGCTAGAGAACCATAATCATTTTGTAAATAGAAGGTTTTAATCCAGCTTCAGTTATTCATTTTATGTCACCCCTCTGTTCTCTAGCAATAGCTTGGCTTTGGACATTGCCAGCATTTAATCTATATTTATCAAATACATAAAAAACTAAAGTATCAGCCATGAGTACTATGCGAAGTCTAAGATTATAATCTTAGACTGCCATTTTAGAAGCTGGGAGAGATTCTTTAACACGAACTTCCTCCAAGTGTGAAACTGTCAAAAATTTCAATGTCAATGACTCCCTAATACACAATTTAAGACTTCAAAATAATATCAAAATATGATTTGCACTAAGATATTTATGTCTAAGAATAGTAAACTCCAATATTAGAATGCCAAACTAATCCTCAGCTACTATGAGTTCTTCATTATTAGGAACATCATGGAATGTGTATTTTCCTGGTGCTACTGATTGCACTGTGAGGTCATGTTTTCCCCATAAACTGCATAGAGGGACCAAGGAGATTCTAACAGAATGAACATAAAGTAATGGAGAGTAAGAAATAAAGGCAAAATGACAAGTGACCCTTTGGGAGAACTGACAGAAATTCAGTAAAGAGTATCAGAAAAATTCGTCAGTATTTCAAACTTTGAATAGGAAGAATAATGAGATCTACCATGACACTATCTTATTACACTTCCAAACACTTCAGGGTCCAGTCCTTTAGTGGCTCTTGCTTATCTTTTTTTCTATCTTTTAAATTCTGACGTTTCCCCGGATTCCGTCCTCGGGCCTCTTCCCACTGTATAAGTCTGTCCCAACTATTCTCATGGCTCCAGCTGTCTCTGAGACGTCGGTGGGTCCCCAAACCACATAGCCAGCCACTGTGTGTCTACTAAACACTGGCAGGATTTTTGACTGCCAGCTTCACGTTTTCATCCAGGTTTTCTTATAGATCTGACTTGGAACAGCCAAAGTGAGTAGCAGCATCCTTCCCACAAGCCTCCTTTGCCTGTGTTCCCTGTCTGTTAATAACACTCCATTCTCCAAACGGGTCACCTGAGTTAGGCATCCCTCCACCCACCGCCTCCACTCTTTCCCCTTCCTCACCATTTCTACTTAATTGTTCACAAAATCCGAATGACTGCTCCTTTACCATGACCCCTGGAAGGACCCCATCCTTTATCTGGACAATCCCCTACACATTCTCAAGGGCTCTGCCTACCTGCCCCGGGCCCTTCCGTGTTTTAATTCATCTAAGACAAAGCTGCCAGTTACCTTTCATAACACAAATCCAATTACACTATTGCTTACTTTTAATAATTCAGTGGCTTTTTATCCCCTTCTGAATAAAGGGTAAAAATTTTCTAAGAAGCATAAAGTCTTTGCAATCTACCATTCCAGCTCCTCTCCCAGTGTTACCCAAATCAGTCTACACTCTAGTCACTGAACTTCTCAAATGGCACGTTCACTTGCAATTCTAGATTCCTTCCCACATCACTTTCTCTGCATGAACACCTTAGAAGACAACAACCCTTCCCATCACCACCCCCAGCTAATAATTTCAACAGGCCTGAGCATCTGTGAATACCCGTTCCGTGTCCCACATTATTCTATGAACATTGACAGCAGAGCTTCTTTGTCTTGCTTATCCTTGCATTCCTGATACTTTATTTTTTTTAAATTTTTTTTTTTTTTTTTAATTTATTTATGATAGTCACACAGAGAGAGAGAGAGAGAGGCAGAGACATAGGCAGAGGGAGAAGCAGGCTCCACGCACCGGGAGCCCGACGTGGGATTCGATCCCGGGTCTCCAGGATCGCGCCCTGGGCCAGAGGCAGGCGCCAAACCGCTGCGCCACCCAGGGATCCCGCATTCCTGATACTTTAATGCGACATTTGCCCTAAATGAAAACAGCAAATCATTGAAAATACCCCGCCTTTCCTTTAGATTAATCCCAACCTCTACGTGGCCAAACCTTCAGGGGTTGTCCTACACATGGGCCACTAACATTCTAGAAATTTTCCTCATGTTTCCTCAACAATTATCTAGTATCTGCTACCTGTTTCCCCCTCCCTGCCCTGGGGATAGGGGGAGGGGTGGGGAGTCGAGATAGGAGAAGGAATGAGAGACACAGACAGGAGAAAACACAAATATAAGTGTGTTTTACCAGCTCCTTACAGAAGAGGCCATCAAGTTACCTGAAGGAGTCTGGAAAGGATGGCTAAAAATCCATTGCCTTGAAATCCAAGCCAAATATTAGATCTATTTATCAAGTAGATAAAATGGAAATCCTAGCTCTGTTTAAAGATCACCTATCACCAAGTGCTGTCCCTTACATTACTTGTGAAGTAATCACACTAAATGGAACACGTTTCAAAACTTGAACCAACTCTAAAATGGATGCACTGCAAGTAAGACACAAGAGAAATACCAAGTAGGCACCAAGAAAGTTGATTACTCTGGTTCCACAGGAATTTGCTGTAGGGTAAATCACTTAACCTCTCCAGGCCTCACTTTCGTCCTCAATCAAATGTAAATGAAAATAAACTCTACCTATCAACTGCAAGGCTACCAAAACAGCAAAAAGCACAAAACAGATGCAAATGCCCTGAAAAAGACAACCTGAAAACACTCTACAAATACTAGGTAAACTCTCCATTTCCAGGATCACAAAACACAGTTTTGAGAGGTTCTTCACGAAGCAAAAGGATGGTGTTCTCTTTTATTATGTTTGCGTATTTCTGCCAAAGGTAAAATCATGATCCTCGTGAACTTAGAAGCTAGAAGTGTGTGATGGAAACCATCTAGAAGGTAAACAAAACCCACATTTGAGGATTCATTTATTCCTTCCTTCATTAATTCAGTCTGTCAATAAATAGAAAATGGGCAGCAACCAAAAATAGAACTTTGTAAAAACATATTATGTGAGGGAAGATTTGACATTAAAATATTGAAATCTATCCTCAAGATGCTTAATAGCTAAGTGATTTTCAGGGCAATGCTGATATGCCTATAAATTGACAGGAAAGGATGGCTCTGTACATGTATACACAAACACAGATTATAGGACATTTTTACAGTAATAGTCATTTCATATATGACTTACAAATTGTATGTGTAAATGAATATACAAATATGAACAAAGAATACTACAGTTTGCTAATTAAACAAAGGGCTGTAGGATTCTTTAGGTCACAGTTGGAGCTACAAAAGAAAAACAAGTCTTGTAAAGATATTTTGCCATTAATCCTCTCAGTCACACAGGGAAAAAGAGTATCTTCAAATGGCAAACAAAAAAAGTAGTAGGGCATGTTAACACAGGTTGGAACTAGGAGTAGAAAGCATGGCTATCCTTTTTATTATGTAAATAAGCATAAATATAAAGGCCCAGAGACTGAAAGGAAAGAAAAAGGGGAGGGATACTTCCTATCCCCACAATAGCAGGTATCAGGGCAATTAAGAAATTGTTCGCTCACAATATGGATAAACCCCTCAAAATCCTTATTTGGTAAAATGTGAATAAATTTCCAAGTTAGGAAAGAGTTACAGAAATTTAAAAAATCTTCTCTATAATGCAGTTAAAAATAAGTCAGTATTTCCATGGAAAGATGTCTCCACCAAATACACTGCTCCTTGGAGTTATATTTGAATTAATTTACACATCAGAATCTCTATAACCACATTCATCAGTAACCCATTGAGTGTCATTTGTGGCTTACCGTTTATTTGGATCCTTTATCAAGAGCCCCGAAAGCAATGATTTTGCATCTGAAGAGAGTGTTCGAGGGAATTTAATGTCTTCCATTAGTATTAGTTCAAAAAGCTTCTCATGATCCTGATTGTAGAAAGGTAACCTCCCACACATCATTTCATACATGACGACCCCCAGTCCCCACCAATCCACGGCTCGGCCATAGTCATTGTCTTCTAACACCTAAGAGGGAAACCAGTGAAAAAATTCGTTATTGCACATTAACTTTTAGAGCAGCATTTACAAAATGTACGAATTTTACATCGAAGTGAATCCTAACCTGTAAAGCCTAGGTAGGTTATTCTGATATCTTCACATTTAAACTAGAAAGCATCCCACAAAAGACAAGAATTACATCAGAGATGTGAAGTGTTCAATACATGTCCTGAAGTGGCCAGTGTATGAGAAAGGGGACAGGCCATGCAGCAAATTCCAAGTAAATGACAATGCAGGGTCACATGAAAATTGTTTGCATATTTGTTTTCTCTGAGGCCTACTGAACTTTTCACTCTGGTTCCACTAATGTGGACTTCAAGTAATTCAAGTCATGCTGACTGAGCATACGAGGACTAAGTAACTCCAATCAAACTGTGAAAGACAGAAGTCATGTAGGAGGAGTTCTACAGACAGAGGAGTTCAGGGCAAGGCAAACAAGATGATCAAGCTGAAAACTTCTGGAGGCCCCTATGTGTTTAAACTCTTTAAGGAAATAGTCAACAAAGTGGATATAAAGATTTACCATTTGGAGTGTGTCCAAAACTTTAGTACCTCACAATAAAATTTCTGTTAAACACAAACAACAAAAATCACGGATGCAGTTTCTCTCTGGTATATGCCCTTAAACTTCTTTCCCAAAATACATTTCACACAAAATAAATTTAGAAAGAAAGAATAAAACAGTACCAGGGTATGTTAGAGCCACCTATTCAAATTGAGGCATAATAATTTGCCATTTGTCTCAGGAAAGTGTTGGTTTTTACCTTTTTTATTAGGTATGTTCCTTGTCTAATGCAATTTTTTTCATCTATTTGAATCTATTAATATATTTTTTAAAAGATTTTATTTATTTGAGAGAGAAAGAGGGAGAGCATGCAAGCGGGTATTGAGGCAGAAGAAGAGAGAGAATCTCAAGCAGACTCTCCATTGAGCAGGAAGCCTGACTCGAGGCTCAATCCCAGGACCCTGAGATCATGACCTGAGCCAAAGGCAGACACTTAACTAAATGAGCCACCGAGGTGCCCCAGGGTCTTTCAATATTTTGTTTTAAATTACTGTGTCTGAATAACCTTAAACCCTACTTTTATTTGATTCTCTTAGCTTTGGGATAAATAAAGCAAGAAAACCATACCCGTGAAATTTATCAATTAAAAACATCTTATAACTGATTACATAAGAATTTGATACAGAACAAACTAGTGCACATGTTCTAAACTTTCTTGGTTCGAGTTAAGTAAGTTGTTGATTACCCCATGTTACCTTTATTTAAAATTTACCAACAACTTCATAGAATTGTACATGGTATATTTGACAGTTATACTATGATTACCTATGGATACTACGAAAGGCTTGGTAGACAGTGTATTTATATGCATGGACAATGTAATTTTGAGAAAAAAAACTATGTTACTTAAAGATTAATTCAGCAATGTGTTTCAAATGTTATGATGAGAAGATTTTTAATTCAGTTGTATTACAGTTCCAAAACAACACAGGAACTGCATTTGCAAGATATGAACAGGAGTCTAGTTCCTGTGTCTTTTCCGAAAATCTTCTGTAGAGTAACAATCTAAGCAAAATATTTTGGGGAAGAATAACAAATTCTAGTTTTCCCCTTTGGCTAAAAATATTTCAAATTTCTACTTGTTTGAAATGAATAACATAAAAACACACAGAAAAGAAGAAATAAGCTAAAGAAGCAGAAAAAATTCAGCTTGTATACTTAACTTCAGTGAAAGGAAATGTTGTACGTATGATTTTTAAATACCAGTGACTTTTGATTATTCAAGAATCTATCTCCTGTCCAATTAGTAGAATGTACTGTTTGTGGGCCTGAATCGAAGAGATCAGGATTTTACCTAATGACAAACAATTTTAAAATCTAAGTAACCTTTTACTGAATTCCTACAACACCAACAAAACAGTGGCACATGCGAAAAAGAGCCAAATGTGGTTTTTAACCTCTTTTTTCATAAAACCATAAAAAGCATAAAAAGCTGGATTAACTGCTTCCCGAACCCACATTTCACCAGCCGGGTTCTCATCCCCAGCTGGCAAAACTGGCAATCCTTTATTTTTGTTTAAATACCTGGTTTGCAGCCAGAAGGGAAAGTGAGCACATAAAAAAGGGGTTTTATTTTTGAAGAGAAAAAAGCAACTGAAAAATACAACTGTATTGTAAAAAAATCTGTTTGATAAAATAAAAAAAAATATATTTTATTTAGCTTTGTAAAATGACCACTGATTCTCAAAATAAGTGGTTTTGCTTCTGAACATACGGGGGCTAATGAATATATATATATACATAAGGCCACAATGAGGACTGTGTGCTCTATTACTTTGAACTGAACAAGTCTGATGTAATATATTCTCCTATCGACATGTGAAACCCAGCAATGTTGAAGAGAAAAAAAACCCTAAAAACTCAGCCAGCCCTCTTTATCTAAGATAAGAGTCTTTGTTATCAACTATAAAGAAAGATTTCACCAAACAGCTGGAAGATGAAATACACAAGGAATAAAAATAAAAGTGATAATATTTTACATGTGGATACAGTATATAAAACATGTAACACCACTATTCAGACATCTTTTCTCTCTCCCTAAATCTAAATTATCTCAGAAGACAGTACTTCAAAATGCTCTAGAAATTTGAGTGAAATTAAAATCTATAGCCTCCTTTATATTATTTCTTAAAGAGATTTTTTCTCTCTTACTCAAAGCACATATTTTTCCCCAAATTACAGTAACATATAATATTCACATTCTTTAACCTAAGAGTTGCAATTCCTTCTGGCTACCTCTGATGATTTTTCCCCCCTAGAAAAAAGGCCAATATACTTCCTGGTTATCAGGAGAGCAGATCCAAAAGGTAGGATAATTGGTAACACGGAGGCCCAACAATGGCAAAGTGGATTTCAACTCCATTGCCATGCGACTGATCATATAATTTGGATATAAATGCAAATCAAAGCCTGCTCCTAGAGAAACAACCCACTGAAAGACTTGTCTTGAAGGATTAATCTAAAGAAAGTGTCCCCTTTCCACAAAATCATTGATTTTATACATTTTATTTTTTAATTTTGTGCATTTTAAACTGAACTCAAGGTTTCAATATGAATGCAGACATTTGGTATTTCCTTTTAACCCTATTATCTCTGTCACCACAGAGGTAGATTTACTTTGTAACTACATTTAATGCAAAAGATAGACATAAAGAACAAGAGGTGATTTGGAACCCTAAAAGTAATGTAAATATTAAACAATGATAAGAGGTCACATCGAATCAGCATCCAAACAGAACCCAAAGGCTAGGAAACAAGGCTGAATTTCCATTTTTCTATCAGGAGCCAGAGACTGCTTCACTTTCTCATATAATAAAACTGGTTTCAAAGAGGTCATAGCAGGTATCCATTACTATTAAGTATTCTGGTAATATCTGATGAATATTTGGTAATATTTGAGGTAGATGCTTCCACTTCTAAAAACAGCCAGATGAGTTAAACAGAAATCAACAAGAGTAGCTCTTGAATGGTTACAAATTTCAAGAATGACATCAAATTATAAACTATGTATTTTAAAACGGTACCATTGGTTAAAGTTCCCAACGTTGAATACTTATTTGGCTGATGGGCACGTTCAAAAACAATACTCCCTCCAGTATTCTTTTACCAACCAGGACTTACTGAAAGACTGGAGGCCACCAGGCCACACAATGCACCTAAGGCAAGTGATTATAAGGAGGGGATGCATGCCCTGAAGTGGCTTGCTGCTCAATCAATAATCCAGACAGAACAGATGGGGGAAAAAATTAAACATCCAAACAAACTGTCTGTACACCTATGTTGTGAAAGTAAACTGCGAGCTTGCATGAACCAATTTACCACTAATTCAAAAACGAGTTTTTCCCCCCTGGTAACCTTGTATTTCAGGTAATGGGTATGCATGTACTTTCTATATAAACATACATTTCTATACTTTATCATTTGTGGAAATCCTTTACGTATTCTTATCATCATAGGAATCTGCTTTAAAAAAAAAAAAAACAATAAAGGGGCACCTGGGTGGCTCAGCAATTGAGCCTCTGCCTTCGGTTCAGGGCATAGTCCTGGGGTCCTGGAATCGAGTCCCACATTGGGCTCCCCGCAGGGAGCCTGCTTCTTCCTCTACCTATGTCTCTGCCTCTCATGAATAAATAAATAAAATCTTTTTTTTTTTTTTTAAAAAAAGGGAGGGCTGTTAAGTCTTCCGATCCAGATTCTAAAATGTATGGCAGCTTCAAGTATATATTTCATGAGAATTATGAATTCCAAGGTTTCTCAGTATTTTCTTCATAAATACAGATTTTCTGCCTGGAGTTTCACTGCTCTGTTAATTCTCAAGAGACTGAAACTGAACTGTACAGGCCACTAGCTCTTGTAAGCTGTATGCTCTGTCCTAGCACATATACCTCAGTACAGCTGATCACGCGCTCTCTAAAGCAATCTCTGGCTAGCACAGGCAACACGCTTGAACAAGATGCAACGCTAGTGGCCGAATCACTCTTATGCACAGCTTCCCAGAAATTTCTCAACTTCCCTGGTATCCCGGAACAACAGACATCAAGGGATTTCAGGAAACTGGGCCTTTGCCACTGAAGTTAAAACAGCTGATGTAACATACTACAGGCAATCACCAGCATGCAGCCAGTTGGGATGGATTTTGTCTCTGTTCTTGTGCTTCAGAGAATCTACAATTATACTTTATGCTTAACCTAGAATCATCCTAAAGCACTGAATGCAAATATTCATACTGTTAAAGCCAAAACACTGTACATAGCTGAGAAGAACTTTAGGTGAAAACTGGCCACCACAGGAACTGACTGGCCTCTGGGGAAGGAGCCCCAACTTACACCAAGAGACTGTCAAAGTTGAACTAGAAATATTATTTTCATTTATATTTAAATAATATCCAATTTGGGGAGAAAGT